GGCCCGGGCTGGATTTGAACCCACCACCTTAGGTGTATGTGGCTGGCGCCTTAGCTGCTTGAGCCACAGGCGCTGAGCCTAGAACTTATTTTCTATGAAAATGTAAATATTTGTGTTTAGCCATTTGAGAGGAAAATCCTGAAACTCTGTGGCTTTGGGGAACCCCAGATTAGGAGCTTAAACTGTGACGCTGATTGTGGATGATACATTTCCATGTGACAGTTGGAACTGATAACCTCATATATTCCACAGGAGGGCAGTGGCTCAGCGGTGTCCGTCACCTCCTATGATTAATCTGATCTCAATTGGGGGACAACATCAAGGTAACTTTGGCCTCTTTGCCTCCTTTTTCTCTATTCTAACCCACATGAGTACTTGATTTTTAAAAATTAAGCAGCTTTCTTTGAATAAAAAATCAGCCATCTTGGGTGGTGCCTGTGGCTCAAAGGAGTAGGGTGCTGGCCCCATATACCAGAGGTGGCAGGTTCAAACTCGGTCCTGGCCAAAAAACTGAAAAAAAAAAAAAAAAATCAGCCATCTTTGTAAGAAACTTGTTTCTCTAGCTTATAAAAAACTAGCCAGGATTGAAGAAGGTATAGGAAGATACTTAAGATTCTAGAGGCCTGGAACATGGTGAATCATTAGGTTCCTATCTATGCCTCTCCAGTTTAATTGACATGATTTCATGGAGGGGAGAGAGTTATAGCCACATGGCAGGTGGTGGTTGGGGAGTTAGGAATATCTAATGGCCTTTCCTGTTTTCTCTCATTGGTGATATCCTGTCAAATTTAGGCTTAGGCAAAATATCATGCGTAAGCTCTTTTGTCTATTAATTTAAATGTAGAGATTAAACCCTTTGAGAAATAGTTTTTTGTTTAGATAGAATTATATACTTTGGGAGAAGGATATATCTTTGGGCTGGGCATGGTGGCTCATGCCTGTAATCCTAGCCCTCTGGGAGGCCGAGGTGAGTGGATTGCTTGAGTTCATGAGTTTGAGATCAGCCTGAGCAAAAGCAAGACCCTGGCTTGGTGCCTGTGGCTCAAGTGGCTAAGGTACCAGCCACATACACCTGAGCTGGTGGGTTCAAATCCAGCCTGGGCCCGCCAAACAACAATGACAGCTGCAACCAAAAAATAGCCAGGTGTTGTGGTGAGCGCCTATAGTCCCAACTACTTGGGAGGCGGAGGC